GTAGCTTTGTGCCTGTGTTGGAGTGAATTTTGTCTGTGTTTGATATTTATAATACTTCCATGTATAAAGGTTGAGCGTTGGCTGCTTTTTCATGTCTCTCTGAAGGACACATCAGAGATGACCAGAAACTGTTCTGAGCACTTTGCCACGTCTCATATCTTTTGATATGCGATAATCCTGTGGAGGGGAATTGTCGTGTTTCTTTTCCACATAACATCATGGGAGTATGAAGTGCTGTCCGGCAGCCTCCGGCCTGTGACGGCGTGTTTTACCGAACCTCTCTGGTGTTTACAGTTCAGCCAGCTGGACCGGCTCACTGTGGGTCCCATCGGCTACGCTGAAGATGAAGACGGGAAGCTGCTGCCTCTCGTCATCTGTAAGGAATACTACCGGAGGGGCAGCGTGGAGCCTTCAGACGAGTCGTACGACATCGACGCCCAGCTGGAGACGGGTGAGAGGAAACACTTAGATGCTATTTTAAAATGATCAACAGAAATCTAATAACCGCCGACTCGATATTGAGGCCATAAACATCGGACTTGCGCTGTAATGTTGCTCTGCTCTTCTTGTAATTGCAACTGCAGTTCAAATGTGAAATAAACTGCAAACTCGATTAGCTAAAGGTCTCAACAAGACTCACACAGCAGAAATACACTTATTCACAAAAGGCAATGGCGAGCACCACAACACCATGAACAGATGTGTTTGTGCAGGTTAGACAGTCTGTTTGAAACTTGTGCGTCTGTCTAATAAAATATAAAGCGCTTCTTACATTTGATGACCTGTAAAACAAATGTGCAAAACATCCAAAAGTTCCCAACATGTTTGGAATCAAGATTAATTTTACATTTAAGAGCTTTTACAGGCGTTAGCTGTCAAAATAAACGCCCGTTTCTTTTCATATTTATCTTTATTTATTGTTCACAGACCTTTTATTTCATATTTGGTGTTTCTCTAATTAAAAAATGAGGGTCTGGATTATTAAACTATCGATATTTTAAGAGGTAGCAAGAATAATCAAAAGTTCTTGCTGTTTAATTGTGGAAAAGCGTTCACCTGTATGTTACGTTTTAGCAAAAATGCAGCAGAACTGAGTCGTTTCGTGTCACGCCGAGGGATTAGATTCAAGAGTTTGTATTTGTCACATGAAGTTTGCGCAGTGAAATGCAAAGTGACTGTTTTCAAAGTTGTACAACAAAAAAAAGGACATTATAAAAAGGACAAATCTTTAAAAAAAACAATAGAAAAGTTCTTATATAGTAAATGTATTTGCCTTTAAGACAGAGCCTTTAGAGCAGGGGTGCCCAATCCCGGTCCTTGAGAGCCCCTATCCAGCATGTTTTAGATGTGTCCCTCTTCCAACACACCTGATTCAAATGATCAGCTCATCATCAAGCTCTGCAGAAGCCTGAGAACGATCCTGATCATTTGAATCAGGTGTGTTGGAAGAGGGACACATCTAAAACATGCTGGATAGGGGCTCTCGAGGACCAGGATTGGGCACCCCTGCTTTAGAGCATCGGTGTGAAACAGATGTGCAGATGTAAAGCCTAATTTCCTCTTTCTGCTCGTCTCCCTCCTCACAGATTGTATGTCACACGATCCAGCCACCTCAAACCAGTGGAGAACCCAGAATTCCTCCTTTTTCGATCTGGACTTTTACAGGTACGCAGCGCCGTCCGCACCCTACAGCTTTAGACTTTAAAATCCTGCTTGTAAATAACACTTTTCTTTTTCTTTTTTTTACAGACTTGTTGACTTAAAAATAAGCTTCCAGCTGAAGGGAATCAACCTGCAGACGGTGCGGTCGCGGGAGCTGCCTGACTGCTACTCCTTCTACGTGACAGTACGCGATTCCTGAGTTCCTACACTGCAGGTGGAAAACACGCTGACGGGGTGGTGTTCAGAGGATTTACTTCTATTTTGTCCCCAGATAACGTTTGACAACCAGTGTCACAGCGGAATGGTGAAAATATTCCTGGATATAGATGCTACGAGCAGCGCCTGCCGAGACTGGAAGATTTCTGGGACGGGTAAGAAATAAAAACGTATGAATAAGCAAGAGGATGTTTTAAAGCTGTTGGGACAGTTTGGCTGCTTTAGTGTTGACGTGGTTCTTTATCTGCAGTAGCTTTATTTTATTTAACGAAGCCGTGCAAAGTTTTACCTTCATGCTGAGAATATTTTAAGCTACAGACCGTTGAAGTGCATAAAAGTGTGTTGAAATTTTTCGGGTTTTTTGATTTGATTTTTCCATCATTTCTCAGCCTCATAACTTCATCAGAACAGCAGATAAACACATACGATTTTCACTGCTGAAAAACACATTTGAGTTCTGCTAAAAACTGCAACCAGATCAATTTTCCATCCAGTTCAGGAGCCACGATCTGAAGAACAGATCAGGACTTTGTTCTGAAGTTGAGAATTCAGCAGATAAATAGAATGCTTTGGGTAAAAGTTTTCCCCAAATGTGCTTTTTATAGTTTTATCCAGCAACACATCATCTGTGCATTCACTGTCGGTGCTGCTGGGCAGAAGAGACACAAAGCAACCACAAACTGACCAAGAAGAACAACATTGCCAAACATGCAATGACCACAAACAGACACAAAACAACCACAAAGGGACACAAAACCACCCTCTAAAGTTTACCAAAAATGCACTTTTTAAAGTTTTCTCTGCAACCAAATATATTTTACATCCACTCCAGGTGTCATAATCTCAAGAATAAATCAGGACTTTATTATGATTTTGATAATTCACCAGATAAATAGAGTGTTTTGGGTAAAAGTTTGCCCCGAATGTGATTTTTAAAGTTTTCTCCAGCAACATATCATGATGCTGCCACCTCCGTGCTTCACTCTCAGGACTGTGCATTCACTGTTGGTGCTGCTGGTCAGAGGAGACACAAAACAATCATAAATTGACAAGAAAAGGACCACAAATATATACAAAACGACTACAAAGAGACACAAAACATTCACAAATTAACAAAAATAGCTACAAAGAGACACAAAACCACCCTTTGCAGTTCACCAAAAATTTAATTTTTTTCGAAGTTTTTTCTGCAACCAATTTAATTTTACATCCACTCCAGGTGTCATAATCTAAATCTGTTTTTTGTTCAGCACCGTTTTGTCTACTTGGAGCATCAGTATTACTTCAGCAGTTTAATGTCTGGGACACAGAGTCATAGAAACAATCTCTGGATGTGTTTTCTGATAATTCACTGAAGGAAAATTTTAAAAAGTGCATTTCTGGTAAAGGAGATGCATCACCGTGTTTGATTGGTGGTTGGTCAGAACAAGTTTTATTATTTTAAGATTTAGTTTCTTTTATAATGTAAAACTATGAAGAGCCTTATTAACAACTTATTTATGTGTTGCACCGGCTTGTTAAACTAATTTCAGATGTTCCTTGTGCCTGAAGAGATGAAACCATTCAGACTATTTGAACAGAGCGTCGCTGATAACTGGGCGTTTTGTTGCTGTTGACTGTTGCTGCTATCAGTCGACTCGCGGTATCAGCGATGCGTGCGAGGGAGTTGCGTAACAGATAAACGCTCTGACGTGCACACTTTTGCCTGTTTCAGCTCAGAAGAACACGCACTATCTGCTGGTGTTCGACGGCTTCGTCATCCTGGTTTGCATAACGTCGGCCGTGTTGTGCACGCGCTCCATCGTGCTGGCCGTCAGGTTACTCGAGGTCAGCTGCCTACATACAGCTCCACAGTATCACAAGGGGATGTTGGGATCTTTTCTCTTGCTGTCGTTTACTCCTGATTCTATTCTAAAAAATATCCCCCTTCCTTCTAGTTCACACTGTCATCACTACGCTCTCTAAAATATCACGTTTCACGCTCATATGGAAGCCTTCTTCTTTGGGTTTTCACTTTATCAACTTGTAGAATAACGACATCTACGTGCATCTAGAAGCTCCGGTTTTGTCCTGCCCATCTGATTCTGTGATTCTGTCGTCTTTTTCCATGAGAGCGTCTCTTTGCATTGCTTTCCAGAGATTCGCCCGATTCTTCCACGAGAACTTCAACCGTAAAGTGTGTGAGGAGGACCAGAAGGAGTTTCTGAACGGCTGGTACGTGATGGTGATTGTCAGCGATCTCTTGGCCATAGTTGGATCCATTCTGAAGATGGAGATACAGGCAAAGGTGAAGTTAATCCTCTGCTTCTGTCTTACAGAGAAGGTCACCAAAACTGGGTTAAATTACACCAAACGTGGGTCAAATACCTGTGAAAAGCAAGTTTTTGGGAGTTGTGGGATCTCCATTAGCTGTGACTGTAGCTAGCATAACATCAGGACAGTAAATACACATATTTATCAATTGATTATTACCACGCTGTAAAATCTATTTATGAGGTCATTACATATAAAAGCAAACAGTGCTGGATACCAAGAGTACACATGAACAACCACCATCACACATGCTGACATGAGCCTTGAAAGTTTACCCAGAATGCACTTTTCAGATTTTCTCCAACCTAATGTCATGATGCTGCCGCCTCCGTGCTTCACTGTCAGGATTATTCATTCACTGTGGTGGTCCTGGTCAGAAGAGACACAAAACAACCGCAAACAGACACAAAACGGCCACAAATGGACACAAAACAGACACAAATGGACACAAAGAGACACAAAATGATTACAAAGTGTGTGTTTTTCATGGCAGAAAATGTCGTGTGTCAGTCTGCTGCACTGATCAAGTTATGAGGCTCAGAAATAATTAAAAAAGCGTAAAATTTCA